TCCCACATTTGAACCTACACTTGATATATCAACTCTCAATTCTCTAGCTCAGCCCTTCATTATTTCTTGCCCAGTCCATTTTAATTCCTCTTGATCACTACTCCTACTTTTAAGTTTTTCTCTTAACCCATCTTTTGTAGAGTCAAGAGAGTAATCTACCAGAGCATAGCCTTAACTGTTTTTCACACTCCGCTTTAGGTTTTAACATTTCTCTTCCACCGAATAAAGTCCAGACTCCTTGAAAGAGCAGAAAGCCTCTTCATCTTTCTCTAACTTACCTTCTCAACAATCTCCCTTTACCCACATTCCTTCAGCCTGGTGTGTTCTGCACGTCACTGGAATCCAAAACATCCTTGAAAGAGTAGCTGGATAACACCTCTACCATGCTGTGTTCCTTATCGACTCTTCACCCCGCAGCAAGCACATTCTCCCCCACCATATCCTATGTTACAGCACTTTATTTACACCCCATTACAGCATTTACTACATTCTAGAGTATGTAGAATACACTATACTACACAGAATGGAATGGGTATTTATAAATCTCTGTCTTTCCATAGATGGAATTTGATAAATGAATGGTGAAATCAACAGACAGCATATAGAGGAACTTTGAAGAAAGGAAGAGCTGATTTATAATCTGAATTATAAAGATTTTATAAGAGTTGAAAAGATGACTAACTGATTAAGCCTTCTGTTAAATGAATGTCCTATGTCACAAGGATAAACCAAGGTAACTTGGTAGGATTCCTTTAAATCTTTTACTTTACCAAAAGTTTTCCCTGAAAGTGGAAAGGAGCACTTTGGGATCACTTCATTTAGCCAAGCACAAGTTCAAAATCTCAGTATTAAACAAAAATGTTCAGACACTTAATGTGTTATCATCTACCCAAGTCTAATAGTGCCCATGATTCTGCTAACATGGAAGAACTTCACTGGAGTAAAGGAAATACATGAAGAATAATTCAAATAAATGACATTCCCTATTCCAAGGGCCCAAGGACAGTGATATCTCAAACCCAAAAAACACAAACAACAGGCATCCAAAACCTACATTTTATCCCACATATAATATTTTTCAGAGGTATGAAGAATTCATCTTAGAAAAGTATACCGACTATTAGTTGTTAAAGTAGCTGCATGTATTCCAAGCATCTTTGATTGACAACCTTTAAGATATATTATAGTTGCAGTAAAATTATAAAGATGGAGAATGAATTACACTCCAAGCTTGACAAATGTACTGAACGTACTAAGGGTAAAAGGCAGGAAAAGGCTATTTGGCATCATCACTTTTTAAATGCTTTTAAAACTCTTTCAGTGATGTAATTTCAAATAAACGACAAGGACAGCAAGACAAAACATAGGCAGGTACTCAACTTGCTTTGCTCTTTGGCATCAATTAACTCTTTTCTAATTTCCTGAACATCCATGTAAGCTCAGTACATTTAGCATCTATTAGATTGAAAACTGTTTCTTCCATTTTCCATCACCTGGCTAAGACGCTTGTGAAAACCATGCTCAGGAACCTCACATTAATAAATTATCATTCCTCCCATACTGAATAATAATCATTTCCTTACCCTCACCTCAGCATTTCCAACAAGAGTACAATAATGCTATCCTAAAGGTAGTGTGCAGCAGAATCCAGACAGACAACTGTCTGAACAGTAGCCAGAAAAACAAGGAGGTTCTTCTTCACTTTGCTCCCACTGTACTTCCCATAGGTCTGTATTACAGTCTTGTCCATACTATATGGCAATTACCTAATAAATATAATATAAATAATAAATTACCATTTATATGCCTGGCTCTGATGTTGGTGTCTGAGTTCCTTGACAGGTCAGAGGCAGAGTTATACACATCTTACCTAGCTTTGTATCCTAGTATCAAGCACTTAGTAGGAACATAGTAGGCCCTCATTACATGTTGATTAAGTGTTTAAGAAACCCATCTCTGTAATAGTTTTGAAACAGACTCCATATTTCAGGTATATTTGAACCTGGATATATATATTCATGAGTAATAGTTCTGTCACTGCATCAAACAGGCATCCAGGGACCAGAAGAGTTTGGGCTTAGCTATTGACATAAACTGACACATCGAGCTAAGGCCAGAAAACATGTCTCAATGCGATGCTTTGGTATATGCTACCATTCTTTTTCTCAGTAAACTGACGTTTGGTTACAGAACACTTAACATCTCACCAAAAAAACACAACTGAGCAATGACTCCCTCCTACTCTCAGTGACCTTGTACAGAAGTCTGCCCTCTGAAAACATAACAATTAGTTGGAACTGGAGTCTCAGTTGACTTTTTAAATTCTAGAGGCCAGGGAATGGTAAAACTACGCACTTACTGGGTATTTCTCCTATAGTCTGAGACTGCTTCATATCCCCTGTAAAATAAGTTCTTTTACTTTGTAGGTAGCTGCAACATACCGAACTTAAAAGTTTGTTTCATATTTATCCTTCTAAGATCTGCCTTTGTTGAAGAGGCTTCCTAAAGAAAAAAAATGCTAACTAAACACCTAACCCTGCCTTTCAGGTAACCACCAGCTAGACTTGAAAGTTACTATTTACTGTTATTCGCAAGCTAAACTCAGGCTATTGCTGTTATTTTATAAAACAGGTGATACATCAAGGGATTAACTTTTGGACTCATAATAAATATCCTGATGTAATCACCAGGACAATGTTGAGAACCACCTCCTTCACCACTGACAAAGAAAAAAAAGGTAAACACATGTGAGGGATGCTTCTGCATTACACAATTATATTTTCAGTTAGTAATTATCAATGCCTTTTTATTACTGTGTGATAGAGTAGTGATAAACATCCTGAAGTCTTTTATAGCGATTTATGTGCTTTCCCTCCACAAAGCCCCTGGATGCATTCATAAATGAACACAATCATTTTCATTCTTGACAAATAATGAAGACAAATAGGCAAAGTCATACCAATGCACCTTTGCCAACACCGTTACCCCCATTCCACTAAGTAGAGACTTTCAATAATAGTTTTCCTTATGAGTCAAGCTTCTCAACTGGAGAGGCTAAACCCGAACCCACAAAAGGGTTAATAAAATAAACAATGGCAGAGGCTTAACTATCACAAAACCATCTATTTTACCATAACCCATGGTGAAATAATTAGAAGTGGATAAAACTTATGTTAACAATCAGTTACAAACCAAAATTATGAATATATTCTTTAATGTTTGAAAAATAATGACTTTATATTAACTATAGCTCACCACTTCCTGATATCAGTCTTTTTTATTTGCTGTGCTAACATTCACTCACATACAAATTATGACCTCTCACATAAGGGGATAGGGAGGGAGCGGCAGCTCCTTGGTAGAATCTGACCCATGTGTTGCCCACTCATATAACAGGTAAGCTGGGGAAAAACCATGAATTCCTTCTCTTATGCCCAACTAATGATTTAGGCAATGAGAGTGACCTTCAATTGCATTTTCTTTAGAAAAGTAAAGACAGTTAGTCTTGTGCCTGCCAAATATACCCCTCATTCTTAAGTGTCCAACGCTAAAATCCAAACCTGACCTCAAGCAGCAAGTTGCAATGTTCTGACACTATGACATCATTCTGTCTGGAGCATTTTAATATCACAATTTGAATAAACTGGCAGAAGCTTAAATAGGTCACAATGAAGCCCAAAACTAAGGATATTTATCTGGCAAAAATTTTCTGACTCTGCATTTAGCATCACCAGCCCTAGAATGGCAGGCCTATCATTCATCTATCCATCTGTACTTCACATACAGATAAATGAAAATAAAGCAAATCTTATCACCTTCCTATACCGCGAATACCACACTGACAGTGGCTTTTTGTGGCAAATATTCATACACAGTTACAGGCCAAACTAAAGGCGACTGCTACTATATGATTTCATGGAGGCTTTAGCACATCCCTACAAAGGATATTTTTTTAAACCTCCATTTCTGCAGTCACAAAGATATCAAGAGCCCTGTATCAACTAAATTCATAATTAGCCCCAAATATCTATGAAATGAAACCAGATGTTGCTACAAACATTTACCAATATGCAGGGGACAGTAATACTGCTTCAAAAACAAGAACTATTAATTCTGCACAGCAGCAAGCTACATCTTAATCATATTTATTTCATAATCCTACTTAGTAAGCTAGGACACTGACAGCTAGTTTCTCAGTAGACTCCAGTAAAATATTCAGGTTGCCTAGACTTCTCGGGGTACTGACATCCAGCTTGACTTCTTCTTGTAAAATTATTATTCATCTGAAAGCAACATGCAGAAACCACAGAGGTTTCTGATACTCTCAGCCCCACCACCTCCATCATAAATTTTCCTTTCACAATAAACAATGTGCAGTCGAAAAGGTTTCCTGTTTCAAATGGAATAGATAAAAGAAACTGTAACTCTACCATTAACAGCAACAACGAAAAGTTTCTTAATGAAGATGAATTCTCACAGATGAAAATGGAAACTCTCTCAAATACTGCTTCCTCACTTAAGGACTAATCTGGTTCTTCCTCTAGTAAATATTCTCAGCGTCATGCATTGTGGTTGTCATGAGTGGTCCCTCAGAGGGTTTTCTTAAAACACTGGTTTGCACTCGTTTGTTATTTAACAGAAACACAACCTCATATAAGACAGAGCAAACACTTCCAAACTATTCTATGGCCATGTACTAACAAAGGGCAGCCAACAGTAAAAACTTTGCATATCTGAGTCATATAGAGGAACTTTGAACCTTGAAGAGTAGGACAAAAGGTAAAAAAAAAACAAGTCTTTGCTCTGAATCCAACTTTTTAAAACACACAGAGTGGATGCAAGGAAAATGGTCAATCCAAGTCAAAAGACCGTTGCCATAACAATAATTATTAATTAAGGGTAACAATAATATTAATTGATGGTACAAATAAAACCATACAAGAGGAAACCATATCCAGGGCAAATAAGGCTACACAGAGGCACAAGCATACAGAACTTACCACTTTGTCCATGAGTTTCCAAGTTTTCTCCACAGTCCTGCGATCCGCTGCTGCTTGCTTAGGAGGTCCAACTGCATCCTGAATAGCATCAATAATACCCAAAATCCGTCCTTTTCGGGGGTTTCCTCCTCGACCACCAGGGTTTCTGCCATTCATAGAATTTGCCATCTGGAACCTTAGTTCTTTGAAAGGCAGATTAAGAAAAAAAAAGTTAGTCGGTCATGAAAATGTTTATCCAGCAGAAAACTGAACAGGTTAATCTGTACCCACTACATTCTCCATCAGTGAGAACAAAATCCCAGGTTCCCAGATTCAACTTCTCAATAGCAATGAATTTGCACTCTCAATCTGTACACACAACAAACAGTAACCTTTTGGGGCACTAAGAGTTAAAGATACATCCTTCTCGAATTTCACGTAGCAAAGCCTTGATTAATAGCCAACTCATAACCGAAACAAACAAACAAACAAAACAAACAACTTACAGAGGTTTCCTCCAACTAGATAAGAACACAATGTTCTCCCCATCCCTGCCTTAATCTCAATTCAATGTACACTAGAACTAAAGCTCCCAGAAAACATTTTGGGAGCCTCACTTGAAAACCTCACTTTCACTCTGTTAGATTTCACCGAGTTATATAAACGTAAAGATTATTCTACAGGAGCACAAGGGACATATCTGTTGTCAACAAAGGCTTAGGACTCGGATTTTCCCGGCTAAAACCAACAAGTACGGATACGGGAACACGGACACACGAACACACAGTTCTTTAAACCAACGTGGTAAGGAGTTAGCCCCAAGTTAAGAGCCAAATAAACCAACAAATAACCCACTAAAAAAAGAGGGGTGAGAAACTGACAAGAGCGGGTACAGAAAGGAGAAGAGAGTTCACTTATTTCGCTCCTTTCCTCTCGTCTCACTCAAGGGGAGTGGGGGTCCAAAGCTTTGTTTCGGGACGTCTGTGCCCCCTCCTCGTTCAGGACCCTCCCCTGCCACTCTCGGACCTCAGCTGGGGGAGGAAGGTGGACACAGAAAGGCCAGAGTAGCCCCTCGCACCTCCAGCGCCCGCAGACCCACCGGTCTTGGGCGCCCCGCATTCAGCTCCCGGGCGGACGCACCCCCCCACCCCCCCACACACACCCGGGATGTCTGCAATCCCAGCCGCCCGTCTCCCTTCACTCCCTCTCCCTCCTCCCCCGGCCCAGCCCGGGTTCCGGTCTTTAAATACCCCTCTTCAAACTGTGCCGGCGGCGGCGACAGCAGCTGGAAGCCAGGGCTGTCCCCTGGACCTCCGTGGCCCGCGGCTGACTGCCCCAGGGCCCCCTGGCCGGAAAGAAGCGGCAAGCCTCCCCGGCGCCCCCTTCCCTCCCGGCCTTTCCGCGCTGTAGCTGTCCAGAGACACGAGTGTGCGCGGGTCCTACTTTACACGCACGAGCCCAGGGTGCGTGGGTAGCCGGGGCAGGGAGTGTGTGATCGCCGTAAAAGCACGTTCCCGAGGAAGGAGCAACCCGGAGCACAGACCACCGAGACGGGGAAACGCAACAATTACCGTCAAGACCAATCCACACCCGCTCTCCCCTCCCGCCTGATTCTCGGGGAGGCCGCGGGACGCCGCAGCAGCACTTGCCGGAGGTGGAGACCACTCGCTGGATACCCCACCCCTGTAGGATACACACACAGAGAGACCCAGGAGCGGGGCGGAGCCGGGGGCGGGGCCGCGCGCCGCTGGGCCAATCCCACGCGCCCTTGCACTGCCCGACAGCGGGCGGCGCCAATGGGCGGGAGGCGGCCGTCCTTCTCGCACTACCACCCAGTCCACGTCTCCCACAGTACACAATGGCCCCAAAGGAAGGCCCGCTCGCGGCACGTCCCAAATAGAAAGGGACTGGGAGGGAAATGGGGGGACGGGACTCACCCAGGAAGAAAGTGGAAAAGGGAAAGGAAATGGAAGAAAGGATGCCAGGCACTAGGGAACTGACCAATAAGGAGTGGGCGGGTGGGCGTGAGCATTGGGAGCCCGAGCCAAAGCCAACTGGGGCTAAAAGGCGGGACTTCCTGCTTCGCTCACCTTCCTCGTCTTTTGTTTCATAGCAACAGAGTAGTCGCTGAGAGGGAGTACTCTGGGCGGGTCCGAAGCTGAAGAATTTCATCTCCCCAGGGCTGCCAAACTCTTCTACCCAGGACAGCAGCCAAGCAGGTCTAAGGCATAGCTTCTTGCTGGCTGTCAAAAAAGAGCAACAGTCACCCAGCTAGTTTCTAAGATGAAATATAAACCTCGCATAGCGTAAACGAGGGTTAGCACCTGATTGCCAACCAAAACTTCCTAAATTTCTGAGTGTGGCTCTTTTACTGTTAGTTCTAGACAGAGTGCAGATCAAACATCAGGCTGATGAAAAAAGCATATAATTGACAGTGCTGACCAAATAGTCTCTACTAAACAGGCCAGGGCAGTAAAAGAACCAGACTATAGGAATTGCTAATATATGCATCACACCTTTTAATTTAGTGCAAGTTTCTGCATAAATGACTGAAGAAGAAACAGCTTTTGTATTTTGTTTGAGTCAGGTTTGTATGGATTTCTCTCCGTCTTAAAAATAACTCTATTGTGTCTGCCATTCTGTCCTATCATTTGTGATCTCTCTTCTGTGGTTCCATCACTATGCCCTTAGAAAGAACCACATCTGGCTAATCTTAAAAGGAAAAATCTACTGTGTTGGGACCCTTCTTTCTACAAGATCATAGATTAAACAAATGCCTTATATTTCTTTCTGTTTAACTTCAATCCTACCACAGGTGCTACTAACAATTGCACTGGACTGTCATGCTTTGGAATTTTCTTTCCATTACAGTTGGTAGTGCTGAATACACTTTACACCTTAGGCTTCTCAGATGTTGTGATATTTTGTGCCTTTAAAAAATATATATATTTCTATTCTTTCTCTAATCTGTTAACCTGATAAAATATTTCTCAATGGTTCTAACCACTTTCTAGCTAAATAAACATTTTAGTACTGTGATTACTACTGTCAAGGATCCTGAGTTGTTATAATTTACTCTACAGCCCTAAATTCAGATGGTTAAGATTTTCATTTGGTTAAAACAGGCAAAACGAGCTCTTTGCAACTAGTCAGGTGATAGAATGTGGTTCAGGAAGTAATTTTGTTTCTTGCCGTTATTTCTATGCCAATAATTAAAGAGTAGTTCCTTGTTTTCACATTGTGTTTATCTACAATAGTGCTGACCTCTCCATATCTCCTCCACCCATTCGTATCTCCTTTATTCATGGTAACAGTAGATACATTTACTAAGGGGAGACTGCAAAAGGGAAAAATCTATTAGGTCACCTTTTAAATAAATTAAAAAATGTATAAACTGTGTATAGAAGGTTTTTTAGCATGTAGGAAAATAGTGGCTTAAGGGAACACTGTAAGTACATTACTCATACTCACATCTGGATAAATGTAGAGTAAGTAAAATACATGTTATAGCATGTGGCATTCCTCATATTAGTTTTGCAACTGAAAGAGATGACTTAATGAGAAAATGGCACTGCCTATGTTTCAAGCATACCGTATTGATACAAATTATAAGCTTTATGGGATATGGTAATACATGTATGTATATATGTACACACATATATAATACACACACACAATATCAAGAAATTACAGCTTTATTCTCAACTTTATCAAAATCATCTAAAGTCTAAGTTATGTCCTGACATAGCAGAGTTCCCATTTGAACCCAAACTAGGATTCAGGGTTTGGTTATGTCTGATTAACTGATGGGGCAGTAGCCCTTCCTGCAAGCTGTTAGCATGAGCTGATGTATATGGGAGAATAAAGACCTGTTGGGATAAAACTTCATACCCCAGGAGCCTCCAGTGGAAACACAAGAGACTGAGTATAAGAAAGGACCACATACTGAAGGACTATAAATGCAAGCACACACACACACAAAAATGTGTTCTTAGGAGACTTAGGAGCAAAAACGGTAGTACTTCAAGGTGGCAGAGCTGATTTGAGAAAAACTTTTCTCATTTCTGCACAGAACAAGTCAATTTCCAGCCCTTTGCAGTTTAACATGAATGCAGCATCCTTTGGCAGTGTGGTGGTTTGTAACCTGAGAGAACTTGAACATGGCATCTTCACAGGAGAGGGGTGTTCTCCTGGAAGACCCTGACCTGAGGCAGAATGCTAAGAGTCTTGCAAGCACCTTAGCAGCCAGTAGGTGAATAATATGAAGAGGTTGATCATCAGCACATGGGAGACCCTTCCCCTATGATTCCAAAAAAGACTGGGAGACTTTGTGGCAGGAGTACTGAGAAATTTTGTAATGGCAACTATGAACCCTTGTAATTGGAGCATTAATATTTAACATTAATATCTGTACTCAAAGGTTGGTGTCATCTGGGGAAATGTAGATTACAGTCCTGTCTTTGAACACAGGGAAAAAAATTTAAAATAAGACAACTCTTTGGGACAAATTTTTAGACTTTTTTCATTCCGTTCAATCTTTTTCTTTTCTTTTTTTCTAACTTTTACAAATTCACAGTGTCCCATGTGATAATAGGCATGAGCTGACTAAATAGCAAAGCCTTCCCATAATTTACTTGACCCATAATAGTTACTCAAAAACAAAATGTTGAATGAATGAATAGACTGTTTAAGGGTATCACATAGGAAATATAAGGCTGTCCCTGTTTCTGTGCAATGGAGAATCTACTGTATTCACAATTCTAAGCAAGATGTTACATTTCCTACAAGGCAGATTTTCAATGCCTCTCCTAACATAAAAATAGAAAATGACACAACACAAAAAACAAATCTTCCAGAGATTCATTTGGAATGGACACAAATTCACAGATAGAAATAAGAGCATTACTACCTAGTCATATTTGGGTTTAACAAGTCATTCCTTGTTAAAATGAATATATTTCCAACTGTCTTTAACAACACATACTAATAGCTGGCAATAAGAGGTGGTGGATGTATGGTTTCATCAGACATAACCAGCCTCTTGAGCACAAGTTTGGGCTTGACTGGGATTCTTCCTTAACAGTGACAGCAACAACAAAAACATGAATGGCAAAGAAGATAGAACTTTATTTCTCTCACACACAGAAAAAGTCTGAAGCTAGGAATTACAGATAGGAATGGTGGGTCCACAATTTTCTCAAGGATCCAAGTTCCTACCTTCTGTATCATCCCAGAACCCAAGATGGCTGTTAGTGCTCCAGCTACTACCGCTGATTTTCAGACTATAGGCTAAGAAGAAAGTGAGAGGCTATATTGAACTTCCAGCTCAGTCAATCCCCTTTCAGCAATTTTCAGAGAACTCTCACAAATATTTCTCTTTGAAGGACAGATTTGAGTCCAATGGTCAAGCTTAGCTGCATAAATATCTGGAAGACAATGTGCTTTTTATATTAGGAAGCAATATAACCAGCCTAAAATTAGAGTTTGGGTTCTAAAGAGAAAGGGGTGAATGGGTGTTTGGCAAGAAACTGGCAACTCCTACCACTAATAGTTAACTTATGATTAATAAATCAGTTCTGGAAACAAAAACTAGAGTTTCCAATGCTGGTGGTATGAGATAATGAAAATTTGGGATACTCAGTTGAAATCCAGAACATATAAGTATATATGTATAATAATATATACATAATATGTAACATATATAAATATTTATATTATAATAACTTATCAGTTCCTTAGCAAAAACTAGTGTCTGCTATTACTAGATAAATATATGCTTAAAGTTTATTATATGAAAATATATATAGTAAATTATATATAATTCTCATTACAGCATGTGGGCTCAGTGATCCTGAACAATTCAATATCATAGGGTACAGAATGGGCAAAATCAAGTAAGCAACTGCCTTAATGCGTTTCCACTCTATAAAGTGTTTATCAGATTAGTTATTTATGTGGGGGGGGGGAACCTTCTAAATCACTTCACTTCTTTGTGATTTTCTTTCCCAGACAGTTGATTCCCAGGTCCATCATTTCAATTATTTTCCAGAAAATGATTTGACAGTTGTTATTTGTAATAATAGGATTTATACTAAAGTGTTAAATATAGCTACTTTAAAACTTGGAATAAACCTACTACTTTGCCTCAGTTCTGTATTCCTTCGTACCTCCATTGCATTCTTCATATTTCATAGTACAGTTTCCATGTTTCCCTAACATGCCTTGATTCAGAAAAATGTAATTTTCTTTTCCCTCAAGACTATGTGTAAGGAATATAAAATTTGATAGAATTTGTCACAATAATTTCTCTACAGTCCCTGTGCATTTTGATTTATACCACATTAATACAAGATTGAATTTTTATTTTAATTTTTCAATTAAACAAAATATATAAATTCAAAATTTTAAGGCTGAAGGGGATCTTGGTACTGATCACACCACTCAGTTTGGCAGATCTAGAAAGTGGAAAATTTGTCCATGGTGATTGAACCCTAAAAAATATAGATAATAAACTCAAATTCAGGAGATTAATGTGTAGTATACAAAATGTAATTGTGTGAGAAATATAATTGCTAATCAGACCAGTATTAATATAGACCAGATATGTATTCATTTTTCTACTCAAGAAGCCAAATTAAAACCAGAAAATTCTGAAATGAATGTATAAATCAGAAGCACATTACCTCCAGGAGTAGCTCTAATAATG